TTTTGACCGCTGAAGAAATTCGAGCTTAAAAAGCTTATTAAGAAAAAGAGAAAAATGTCGAATTCGAAAGGGGGAAGCAAAGAGGATGGAAAAACGAAAGAGAAGTGGCAATAACGCGAAAGAATCGAGAAGGTGGTCTTGGTTGAAGGACATAGAATATCGGCTTTCCGGCCGGAGATCACGAATTCGTATTCCATCGAGCTTCCTTTCATTTTTCCTCGCCTCGATATACCCTTCTTCCCTGCATTATCGCTATTGCCTATCATTTTCCCTATCACTAAGTATAGATAAAATCGACGCGATACACTTACTCTCGTATAATTTTGCATCTAATGAAATTCCTCGAGAGAGCGGAATCGTCTCCTCGAAATTAACAATGGAATCATAGATATTCGTTGTGACGGGGTGACAACGCGGGATTAATTGCGCTTTCCAGATGAACGAGTTGAAACGCGACAAATAAACGCGAGGCGAGAACGGTTTTAACAAGCTTCAAGAGGAAGAGAGGCGGGTATAAAAGCGAACGAGAATAAAATTTCAAATTTCGTTTACCATTATACGAATCTTCAATTTTATCCGGAATAAAAATCTCGTCACTTTGAACTTTCAACCGGTATGCATTATACACCGGTATCATTTACATTTCATCTCTCGGTATTTACGAGGTCCTGGATCGGGGAAAGCTCCTTATGGAATGGAAAAATTTTTCCCAAGTATCGAATGGATAACCCTCCTCCTGGTTTGATATTAATGTTTACTCAGCGGAGCGGAAATCGAACTTTTACCGATATATCCTTGAAAAACACTTAAAAACTTTCTCGACTATATGTGAAAATACCGCGTACAAAACTTAATATCGGCTTTTAATCTTTTTCTATACATAAACTTCGTATTCTTTTATCGTTACGTCCGATTTCTATGATTTCGTTATAAGAACAACTTTCCATTCCATGGAAGTAAAAAAAAAAAAACAAGATCAACCACAAATCTTTTAGAAATCAACAACTTTAACAACGAATTCTTTCGCGTCGAAAAATACTTTTCGCTTCGTCAAAGTTTGCCATTCCGTCTCGCCCGTAATTTATATCCAAATTGAAAGATTTCTCGAGAAAAAGAAGAAAAAGAAGAAAGAAAGAAAGAAACGGAATAAAGATTTTTAAAGATTTGGCGGAGAATCGAGACAGGGGGAAAATCCGATATGTTCTCGATATGTATATTCGTTCGCGGAGCGTGTATCGTTGCGGAGAAACAATTTCGTGGACGAGCACGATATGCATATTCGCGACGATGGAGGAGGAGGGGATAGCCGCGATGGAAATGCAATTTTCGTCGCCTCGCTCGTTCGGTACGACGTTCACGTAGAGATTCAACATCCTTTGTTATTTCCTTTTCCATCTCTCGATAATAATCGCGATCCCGAAACGATGACACGTTCCGCGTGATAAACGCATCGACGGACTCGAACACCGTTTTCCCCATATTTATTTCGACGACAATTCGACTTTTCATTCTATCGATATATCTCGCTTTTAAATGGAAGATGAAAGAGTCGAATCGAAAAAATTTTGAAAATTTCGCGATATAATAGTGTGTAATCTATATTTGTAATTAGAAGAATTAATTAATTTTTCGAAAGGGAAAAGAATAATCGAAGCACATTAAACGAAATCGTTTAATGTGTAATTAAGCGATTGTAATTCAAGTTAATTAAATCTTTTGAAGTACGTCGATAACGATTCTCGCGTTATCGATAAACTTCCGCGAAAATAAATAAAGAAAATCGAGGCTCATAAGTATGTGACAGAGAGAGCTCTTATCTGTCAGCCGGATAATGGCGAGGTTTCCACACTCAACGTGTGGAACATAGATTAAAATTCCATCGTTCATAGCGAGATACATACAATTTCTCGAGGTTCTTCGATCGAAATTATAGAGATGAAAATTTGGCGAAAATCCCTCGTCGAAGTGCCGATTAATATTTCAATATTAACGGTGTAAGAAAGAAGAAGAAGAACTAGGTTAACGATCAACCTAAATTGATAGATTTTAATCAAGACCAACTTTTATCGGGTTAATCGTCTTAACTGTTATCAAGCCCAGGTTTAAAAGAACGGATCGATTAATTGTATTACGAGTTACGAAATTAATTCGTTGTTGATTCGTGATCAATGACGATTAACGTCGTTCAAGCGCGATTCCTACGAGAAAGGGTGAATCGTCCCTTGTGAAATATGAGTCTTGAGGAGGGTATAGAGGATATATATATGAATGGATAATGAAACGTCTTGGAGATGTCTGGAAATGGAATCTCCTTTCTCCTTTCGGCTCATACGCGTATTATATATCGAAAAATCTATGCATATCGAATGGTTATCGTCGAATGGCCGTCCATGCTATATTTACGATCATATATATGCGAATTTATCCGACAGAATGTATTTTATATCTGTACTTGGCCAAGCAGTTGGATAAGCAGCATTTACTAAAATTGTACACGCTGATAAATGTCGGATGGGCGCGCTGTTATTTGTGATGCTGCGAGTGGATTTTATACGTTTCAAGTAAGGGATATTTCCTTTCGTATATTTGTATCGTTTGTAAAAATATAAAGATAAATTCTTTTTTGCGCGACGTGAGAAAAATTTTCCTCTAGCGGAAAAATTTTCTAGAGCGCAAAATTATTAAGAATTATTAAGAAAATTGTGAAACGATATAAATTTTGGAGGTTGGTGATTTCTAGTGTAGCTAAAGAGATTTAATCTTCGCATTTCCTCTTTTCCTCCATGTAAATTAACGCGAAGAATCAAAGTGTCTTTTGGGATTAGAATTTAATCAAAGGACTGTGCATACGTATATCTCTCATTTCTTTTTTTCCAATTCTCGAAAATCTCGTATATGATTTCGTTTATTCGTCGAACGATCCTTTATCAAGAATCGTATCGAGAATTTAACGAGATTCAGATGTTGGGATCGTAAAAAATTTGTTTTTCAAGTTGTTCGTTACACGGGGAGAGCCTATAAGAAAATAAGGCAAGGGTCGAGCGAGTCTATCGGACTCGGATACAGAATAATATTTTGGAGGAAGAGATTGGTTTTAAGAAGGGGATGATTTTTACAGGGGAAATGGATCATAACTCGTTGATGATCTTTTTTTACGATTATGACCGCTAGAAGAAAAATGAACGACGAATATATTTGAGGAATAACTCGGATAAGTAGAATTGGCGCGAAATATAAAAATATAAATATCGCTTCTATATACAAATTTTCTTTTCTATTCAAGCGTATTTTGTATTCTTATAAACTTGAACTTTTATTCTTTTTTTTCACTTTAATTTTCTTTTCTTTCTTTTTTTTTTTTTTTTTTTTT